GTGAAAGATGCAAAGAAAAAAAAAACGTGATGAACTGTCAATTGACTTCAATCGTTCAAAACTATCAATTTGATCATACTCCATCTGAAGATAGGGCAAAATCATTCTAGTCACTCAAGTCGCCAAGGCTATTAACATGGCTCAGCAAGACTACTCGCCCAAGATTCCGCAGCTACTCGTCAGAATTCGGCTAGCTTTGTGAAAATTGGCCGGCAACTTCACTTGGAACTTAACCCTCACTTAGAAATTAGCATTTGGACTCTATATTACCTAATAGATATAAGTTGAATAAGACCATTCATTTACAACAAGCACTTTTTCGTTACTCAAATGTAGCTTCTCCTATAGCATTGAGACTCCACCTGAGCTTATAGGAGGTCAAATGATGAGCCAATTCTGTCGAATCATTTGCATAAACTTTGTACTTTTCCCAATCAAGTAAAATTCCATAACCTCACATTTTAGATTCCCTCCTTTTTTCCCTTGTTTCTTCCTCATTTTTGTCAAGAAAAGTTCTAGTAGGGCTGTCAATATATGACACGACCCGAAAACCCGACTCAAACCCGACCCGATTTTTTCGGGTTCGGGTCAACCCGAACCCGGTGGGTTCGGGTCAACCCGAACCCGAAACGGGTCGGGTTCGGGTTAAATATTTCGACCCATTTTAAATATCGGGTCGGGTCCGGATTGACCCGGAAACCCGATATTGACCCGGAATTGACCCGCTTCGACCTGCGCTGTCCAGCGATAAAGCGATTCGTGCAATCGTGCGATTTAATTTAGGCATTTAGCCATTCAGATTTTAGGGCACATTTCAGCTTTACGAGAGTTTCGTCTTCGTCTCCTTCCTGGCTTCCTGCGTCCTGCCTCCTTCACGGAGCTTCTCTCCTCGTCGCCTCGTCGGTGTCGTCGTCTATTCCTCTATTAGTATATGTTTAATCTCCTTCTTGCTCGAACCCCGAAGGCTCGAAGCTTTTCAGTTTGTTCCTTCTTGCTAATTAGTTGCTATCATTTTAGAATTATCTTGGTTGAAGACTTCAAGTATCATCCTTGTTCGGTTACTTCTTCTGATTTAAGCTGTTATGCAATTTTGCTTTTGATTTGCCGATTAGGGCTTAGGGTTTATTGTATCTTGGGTTGTATACTTGTATCAGTTGTTATCATTTTAGAGTTATCTTGGTTGAAGTATCACTGTAATTGAGTAATTGTAACATGTAAATTAATTGCAGATTTGTAATTGAAAAAATTTTCCCTTAGTTTTTACTTTTTAGCCATTTAAAACCTGTTTTAAATTTTTTAAAGTGCAGCTGGGTCAAACGGGTCGGGTCGGGTTGACCCGGACCCGAGGCAGGTCGGGTCCGGGTCAGCACAAATGACCTGTTTCAAGAAACGGGTCGGGTTCGGGTTGACCCGAATGGGGTCAGGTCAATTTCGGGTTGGACCCGAACCCGACCCGAAACCCGTTTTTGACAGCCCTAAGTTCTAGTAACTGCCCACGAACAAATTGGAATTAACCCCAAAATTAGCATAATTCTTATAATTTTGTTTAAGATTGACATAAATAATGCTAATACTCTTATATTTTTTGCTACATCTATTGAAAATATCATAATTCCAATCACTATCAAATCATGATTGATGTGTCATATACCAAAAATTAAATTGGATATTCCATTTCGACTCGATTAAACCTTGGTTAACAATAAATAAAATAAGTTGTTTTGCAATAATCTGATTAAATCCAAGTTAACCGTAAATCAATAAGTTCCACCCAAAATAACCTTAATCAATCCTAATTAACTATAAATAGAATTGGTATACTCCAAAATACTTATTTTTTCCTCAAATAACTCTAAATTAAACAAATAAACCCGACATACCTTAGTTCAATATCATTAACCCTAAATCAAAGTAGTTGAGTTGAAATTATCCAATTTAGTTCCAAGGTAATTAACCTTGTCGCTAGAAATTACCTGATCATTCTCAAAGTAACCCAATTAAAACAAATAACTTGGCAATTCTAATTGACTATAAACCAAAACAATTGACTTAGCCAAATTAGGTCACGAATGATTCTAAACTAATTAATAGATCCCACAACTCACTTCAAACATAGTTTTGAATTATATCATTTCAAATGAATTAATTTGATCATAATCAAACTAGTGACCCAAAACACTTTCCGCCACCCACATCAATTACATAAAAAATTCATGTAATGAAACAAAATATATATAAAAAAAAGAGATTTGTCAAGGCCCAAACAACCATAAACAAACTAATGCACTAATTGATGACTGAGGTAATGGCTCAGTATCTCAAATATGGTTTGGTATTTTGAAAACTTCAAATTGATTTAGCTAGACCTATCGAAAATGATCTCAACTACTGAAGGAGCGCATTTTGTGGGTGTTGTACGCTTACTTAGTTGTACAATAGAACGTTGTGCTTGTTCCTCTATTTATAATAAAGAAGTCCTCTAGTGAATAATACAAAAAAGAGCTTCCCACTCCATCATGATATTAGAACGAGGTTACTTAAACCTCAACCACTCCCCTTCTCTCTCTCCATCCTCAAACCTCGCCGACTTGCCTTTTATTTAACCGACAACTCAACTTCACACTTACAATACCACTACTAAATGGACCTCCCTTTTATGATCCCACCCACTAGTGACCAATCTCACTTATGCAAACCTCCACACAATGTGTCTCCTTCCCATGTGTAGCCAAGTGGCATGCCACCCATGTGCCATTACCATGCAGGTACTCCTATGCCTACTTGATGCACGTTCACAACTGTGTCCGCTTGCTGCATCACAAAATTCAGTCATCCATTACACGTCCTGTCATTTATTCACTATCATAGAGAACGAATACCTAATGCATCACTCATATATTGTTCTTAATGATTTGAGTTAACTATTGGATTACGAGTCTCCCTATCATGTTGTCATGGCCTCTTGACCTCATCTTAATTACTCAAACCCCTCTACCTTTGGTACCACAATCAAATTTAATAATATAAATTATATATTGTGATAGAAGTTTTTTTTCTCTTTCTTGTTAGTTCTCATAATAAGCTCCATCTCCTTGATGCTACTCCATATTATGATGACACATCAAGTTTTCAAAAGGGCAAGCATCTAACTATGTTGTTCTTATGTGGTTGGTCAACAGTCTTGAACCTTATGTTTCCCCCACTATCTTTTTCCAAAACCCTTACTAAAAAGATGTAGTACTTTAATATATTTCCAGGAAAGTAATAACTCTCATATCTCCACTCCATGATTTTTTTTTCTTTTAAGCAAAATGATATATAGCTCCATAAATATTATAAAGTATTTTAAAAGTGGAAAGGCTTGTTTTAGCCCTTCACTTCTGATATGACATTTAGCAAAATAGAATGATGAATTTCTCATCAACAAATTAATCTCAGGCCTATGTCCTTCTCTCTAGAGCATGTAATCTCAATTGATAACAAACTCCACTATTCCTAATATTAAAAACACTCACTCAAGTTCCCCTCATCACTGAGCTCTCAACTCCTCATTCCCTGACTCCTGAATAATTTGCCTTGGTTGTTGGCTTTATGAGTGGTCATGAACTCTTGGAGGTGGTGTATGAACTAGCGGCGGTTGTGTTGAAAGTCGTACTGCCTTTCTCTTTACACATATAACACAATCTAACAAAACATCCTCTTAAATATTACTAGAAAAAGTTCGAGTATCCCTCCAATTTTCCAACTAGTTTCAACAACGGGTGATACCCCTGCCAACTCCTTATGCTATGTCCTCCATCTCTATTATCTCTCAAGAAAACTATGATCGATTGTTTGAACAATCTCAAACATCCCACTGTTGGAGAATTTTTGTATCCTCAAA